AGGTCCACTTGTGGCGGAGGGCTCGACACGTGAGCTGGAGTTCCCCCCCTTGGGCCCCTCTTGGGGCCATCTTGGGCCGTCTTGGGCGCCTCTTCGACTGTCTCTCTTGGGCCGTCTTGGGGGCCTTTTGGGCAGTCCTGGGCTTCGCGGTGACCTCAACAACGAATATGCTGAACAAGTACATTTTATGGTGCAATTTTGGCCATCGGAGCCCTCTTGAGGAGCATCTTGGAGCCTTCTTGAAGCCATCAGGGGGCGTCTTGTGCCCTATTGCGCCGCTCTTGTCGCTGAGTCGTGTCCCCGGGGTGGCTGGGGGGGGGGGGGGGCAAAAGGTTGGGGGGGGGGGGGGGGGGGGAAATCCTGAGCGGTGTACCGGCCCAGGGCCTGGGCCTTTGTACTCTCCGGCGTATGCTGTAAGTTTCAAGACGAGCCCGATTTTGAGAAGGAGCCGGCCCCCCTCACTCCACGCCGCTGGGAGTTTTCCAGACGAATGCATGCACGCGGCGTCAAAAACGTCTACACTTTGACACCGGGGTGGACTGCATCCTTATAGCAGCAGAGGGCTTCTAGTTTGAACCCCCCCCTCCTCTGTCGGCGGTGAATGGGACTGGCCCTGAAACTCCCTCGTCGCGGTGGAGATTATGTCCCTTCTGCTGTGTGGTGTGCTGGATAATGTTGTCCCAAGGAATCATGCCCCTTCCTGGGCTGCCCTTCGCTCGCCCTGCTAAGGAGGAGGAAGAGGAGATGACGAGGAGGGGGAAGGGGAGGAGGCATACGAGGAGGCAGGACAGGGAGGAAAGGTGGGACAGCAGGAGGAGGAAGAGGAGGAGGACAGGCACAATAAGAAAACAAAAAAAAGGGCAGAGGGGGCTTTCGTGAGGGCCAGACCCTGGCGCGTGATAGGGTAATGGAGGGTGGCCATTGCGGCTCAAAACTGAAGCCTTGAGGCTCTCTTGAGGCGCCTGAAACAACGTAGCCTGAGCATGGGGCCTGGCGCCGAGGCCGCGGGTGGCGCTGAGGGCGCGGCCGTCTGTGAGATCGCGGAGAGCAACGACGACGCCGTTGAAGGGCCTCCCTAGGCGACGACGACGACGACGACGACGGCGACGGCGGCGGCGACGACGACGACGACGGCGACGACGACGACGACGGCAACGACGACGACGACGGCAGCGACGGAAGCGGCCGAAGCTGATGGGGGCAGCTGGACCTGTTCGGCAGGCCCGTGCCCGAGGTAGCGAGGCGCCGCCCGGGGCGGCCCCGCCGCCTCGGACACGGGCCGAGTTGCTGAGCGGACAGGGTGAGAAACGGAAAATCAGTAACTACTGAAGAAATGGACACACAAACCGAAGACAATTTCCACTCACGTTGACCGGATTCGCCGTCGGCGTCGCCGCGGACTGCGCCCAGTAGAGACGGGAGGCAACTTGCCCAATTGCGGCCGCCGTTGTTTTGGGACAGCGGTTATTATCGTTATGCTCGCGTTCCCCGCGCCGATTTCGGGCACCCCAACGAGGCGGCCGTGGTGCCCGAGACATCCTCCATGACCGCTGGGCATCAGAGGTTCCCAACTTATTGTCGATCGAATTGATTCTCGCCCTGGCCTCGATTACGAGGAGGGCCCGGAGGTGGCGAGCGAGCGCGGGCCGCTCGGCGAGCGGTAGCTACTCAAGCGCGTCAGCGAGCTGTATACGACCTCGTGAAAGGCGCCGGGCTAGGGCCGGTTCCCCCTGCGACGGGCGCGGAAGTTCGCAAATGAGCGAGGAGCAAGACGTTTTCAACGCGACTGAGAAGACTCAGCTGTTTCTGGCGGGGAACTCGCCGCCTTCGGGCGAGCGCGGCGCGAGGGGCGGCAGGCCCGCGAAGCCGAAGTCTGTCGCGTCGACTCCAAGGCTCGGGCGCCTGCCCACGAGCAACGTTTCTGAAGTGGCCCAGCTGCGCGCGAAGAGCATGTGTTGCGAGGGCGGGCGTCGTTCGAAACGTTGCGCGCGCGCCCGCATTGAGAAGTCGCTGGAAGACGCGCAAGATCAGGGGGCAAGTTCGATCGATCAAGGACTACGCCGGCAGGGGCGCGAAGCGGGCGATGGGGCGCCCGGGGGCGCCGCGCCACGTGGAAGGAGACCGTCGACGTCGACAGAGTTGAGGTCGGAGCTGGGAGTCGCGGTTCGCATCTGACGCCAGGCCGCGGGGCGAAGAAGAGCAGGGCGGCGAGGGCCAGCGCGGGGAAGTGGGCCAGGGGACGCGGGCGGAATAACGAGTTCCTCGAGGCGCACGCGGGCGCGAGGGCGCGGCGGGGCAATGAGCGCTCGCGCGGGCGCTTCGCGGGCAAGGCTGATTTGCACTTGGAGATGGGAGTCAGGACCGAGGCCCCCCGTCTAGCCTGCGACGACAGAGCGACGGCGGGGGAAGTTGAGCGCCGAGGAGAAGATGCAGATCGCGGTCCGCGAGAAACTACTTGAAGCCGCCGCGCCAGAGAACCGGCGGGCCGCGAGGGCGCGCGCGAACCGCGCCGGTGAGATAATGTGATGCTCGGGGGCGAAGCATTTGAGGCCTCACCGCCCGGTGGCGCTGGCGGCCCAGGGGGGAACAAGGCGCGCCTGCGCCGCGTAGAGGGCCTTCGACGCGAAGATTCACGCCGCGAGCTTCGTCGACGAGGCGACCGCGAGCGATCGTGGGATTGGCGGCCCCAAGCAGTTCTGTGATAACCGCCATGAATACGCACCGACATTTAGCGACCAGGCACCCTTCGACTCCCAGGCCAAGAGCGGCGGGCAGACCCGCGCGAGTTCGAGAGGTAAGCCCGACAACCCTGAGACGACTGCAAAGTTTGACTCTCGCACGCGAGCTGCGAGGACAGATGCCCGGCTGTCGCGCCGCAGTGACTTGGGCGAAGACCCCTTGGCTGAGGGCGTTGAGCCCGCTCTCGGAGCTGCTGGCGCGCAGGGGCTTGGAACTGAGCGCAATGGGGCCGACGTGCTTCGAGTGACTCTTGAGCCGCTGGGCCCGTCGGCTGGCAGGGCATGGCTCCCCCGGCGCTGGTTGGGGGCTGCGCGCTCGAGGGCGGCGCGGCGACGACCGCGAGATCAGCGAGACCAAGCACTTCGTGGTAACTGGCAAGCCCGTGGCGCATCAGAAGGGCAAGTACATTGGCTCGACGCGCCACGTGGTTGCGCTCGGGAAGAACCTGCAGCCCGAACGCTGGTCTGAGACGACTGAGAACATGCCCATCACGTAGCAGCCTTCAGGTTTCGTGTACAGGGCGGCCATGAAGTGGCTTGTTGAGCTTCAAGGCACGAGGTATTCGCGCAGCCTGATCCCGACAGATTTTTTCATTGGGGCCCATTGCTCTGGGAGCAGGCGGCAGGGCGTCGAGAAAGACTTCTCCGGGCCATCCCTCTCCTCCACACCCTGGCGATCGGGCGAGATTTTGCTCCGGAGCTTCTGATCAAAAGCTTAGCGTACTTTTTCCCCACAATTGTTTGCTGCGTTGGATAACGTCGGATGTCTCCCCCCGCCCCCGCCCCGCCTGCATGGCGGGGGGTTCTAATCATGTTTTTAAGAGAAATGCGCCGTGCATCGGCATATTTTTCGTTGAGGGCGTTGCTCGCCATCTCTTCATCCCGTCGCGTCTGCAAGACGATTGCACCGCGCGGTCATTTGCGCGCTTGACACGCGCGCATCTTCAGCGTCAGCGCCAGCGGCGCGGCCCGCCGATCATTTGCCCCATTATTGTGCGGTGGGCAGGGTGATGGCGGAGGGGCCCTTCCCCCTGTGGGTCCTGTTCTCTGGGCCGCCCTACGCGACGGAGGATGTTTGGGCGCGTTTGCAAAATTACCATTATACGTATATTGACACATTCTTGCCATTCCCACCTTCTTCCGTCGCTGTTGCGAGGAGATTGCGCAGCGCGTTCATGCGCGCACGCACTAGTTGTGCATCCTCAGTGTCAGCGCCAGCGGCGTGGCCCGTCGATTATTCCTCCTCTATTCAGTGGGCGCGATAATGGCAGGGGAAGTTCTTTCTCACAGTGGGTGATGCTTTGTGGGCGACCTTGCGCGACAGACGAATTTCGAGCACGTTTGTAAGAGGATTGCCATGAAGGTCGACGTATTATCTGCCGAGGGCGCTGCTCGCCATCTCCTCCTTTAACCCGTCGCGTTCGTAAGACGTTTGCAGCGCGCGCGCTGCGCGCGCAACATCGGCGTCGGCGCAACAGCGGCGCGGCTGCGTCGTCGATTAATTCCCAATTGCCCATTATTGTTGGGTGGGCTGGATAATGTAGAAAGGGCTTTCTCCCCGGCGAACAATGCCCCCTGGGCGACCTTTCGTAACGGCAGAATGTTGAGCACGCTTGCAAAAGGATTGCCATGGAGATCGACGTATTTTTCGCCGAGGGCGTTCTCGCCATTTCCCGCTTTCATCCCGTCGCGTTTGTTACGGGATTACAGTGCGCGCTAGTCGCCGAGGGCGTTGCTCGCCATCTCTTCCTTCATCTCGCCGCGTTTGAACCAGGACACCCTCCCGGGGCTGACCTGGGACCCCCCCCTGAACCCCCTCCGGAGAGAAAAGAATCAAAGGGAAGGGGCTTCCCTTCGATTGTAATGCGACGTTGCTCAAGTTGCGTTGGCTGGCGCGCTCGGGGGGGACATGGGAAGGGGGAGGGGAGCGGCGACGGCGACGACGACGACGACTCAAACGGAAAAACTTCTCGCACACGCCGAAAGGGTCGGCGGATTTCGGCTATACCACCGGTGTTTCCTTCATCCGCCGAGGCTCTTGTCAGCGGTTTCGCGTGTCAGTGAGCTCGAGGGCGGTCGGTGTTGGACCACATTTTCGGATGCGATAGAAACTTCTGCATGTGCTGGTCTGTCAAGAGGTGTGGACATACATACGAGGGGGATGAGAACGAGAAGGAGGGATGGACCGATGCAGGACAGGAAGAGGACGCGGACGAGGAGGGAGGAGGAGGGAGAACCGGCACGCGCCCGACGCGCTGCGAGGAAGGCAAAAGGGGCTCGCGCCTCTGCTGCATGGGCAAGTCTGTCGCCAGCGCTTCCAGTGACGACTTCCAGTGAGGACCAGGACGGGGGGAACCGCACATGGAGTCAACCTCCACGTCCTCCTTGTCTGCCTCATCGTCCTCCTCCTCCTACTCCCGTTTGGTTTTTTCCAGCAATTCAATCATCGAACGTCGTGTGCGTGAAGTGATCCAGCAACTTGTCGGTGGAGGTCTCCAGATGCCTCTGGAGGCCCACGGAAGCCCAACAGATGCCCCAAGCGTTCTCCTCCACCCCTCCCCTTTCCGCTCCCTCATCTGCCCCCTGCTTCCCTTCGCCCTCCTCTGGCGCGCGCCGCTTCCCGCCGGGCGGCGGGCCACTACGCGGCCAAGCACGCGCACCGCGCGCGCCACTTCCGTGTTGCTGGACAGCACCGTCACCGCCTCGGCGAACGAAACAGGATCAGGGCCCAGCCGATCGCTTGCGTACGCCCGCGCGTTGTTCCGAAGCGCCATTAGTGGTCGCCTCGTCGTCGCCGCCGCCTTTTTTTGCGTTGTCGTTGTGCTTGTCGTCTGTGGCAGTCATGTCGTCATCGTCATTGCATTCCTACAAATTCCACCCTGGAAGCATCGGCCGGACTGTCTGGTGCGCAAGCCCATGTCTGGGGGAGGATCGATAGGGAGGAAGTACGCAGGCCGACACGGAACACGGATAAATCCCACGCGGGCCCCGCAATAGCCACAGATTAGAGAGGTTGGGAGTTTCACTATTGGGTGCACGGGGAGTTTGTCATTACGGAGCCGTGGGCTCAGGATCTTTTCTTCTGAGCGCAGGCCGATAGGGAACACGTGGAGGTCCCGCGCGGGAGCACACGTGTCGCAGGTGAGGGCCGTCACGGAGTGCAAGGACACATCGCGCACAGGTGTGTGTGTGTGTGTATTTAGAGGTGGGGGGGTGAGTCCGACGTGAAACGGAGACCCCCCCTACCGCGAAATCGATTTCGGTTTCGGGTTCGTGTCGTGCTTGCCGTGAGTGCGTGCGGGAAAGGCGAACGTACGTGGGCGGGCGAGAGGAAATCCTCCTGTGGCTGGGCCGCGGCCGGACCAAATGAAACTCCTGCGGCGGCCGCTGCCGCGCGGTGTCCGCCGGTGTCCCGCGGTTGTCCCGAAATCCTCCTGTGGCTGCGCCGCGGCCGGACCAATTGTTTCTCCTCCGGCGGCCGTTGCCGCGCGGCGTCCCGCCAGTGTCCCGCTGGTGTCCCGTGGTGTCCCGTGGTGTCCCGTGGTGTCGCGTTGAGTGAGATCGATCGTGAGATCGATAGTGAGATCGATACTGAGATCGATGTGGTGCCCCGAGGTGTCCCGTGGTGTCCCGTAGTGTCCCGTTGAGTGAGATCGATCGTGAGATCGATAGTTAGATCGACAGGTGTCCCGTGGTGTCCCGTTGAGTGAGATCAATAGTGAGATCGATACTGAGATCGATGTGGTGCCCCGTGGTGTCCCGTGGTGTCCCGTTGAGTGAGATCGATAGTGAGGTCGATAGTGAGATCGACAGGTGTCCCAAGGTGTCCCGTGGTGTCCCGTTGAGTGAGATCGATAGTGAGATTGATCGTGATATCGATAGTGAGATCAATGTGGTGTCCCGAGGTGTTCCGTGGTGTCCTATGGTGTCCCGCTGAGTGAGATCGACAATGAGATCGATAGTGAGACCGATAGTGAGATCGAGAGGTGTCCCGCGGTGTCCAGTGGTGTCCCGTGGTGGCCCGTGGTGTCCCGTGGTGTCCCGTTGAGTGAGATCAATAGTGAGATCGATAGTGAGATCGACAAGTGTCCCATGGTGTCCCGTGGTGTCCCGTGGTGTCCCGTGGTGTCCCGTTGAGTGAGATCGATAGTGAGATCGATTGAGTCAGATGTTGGTTCCCTCCCTCTCCCCCCCCCCACAACTTCCTTATCACCCGAAGGGTGGTCGTGTAGGTATGTACATGTTTGTATATATGTCGGCGGTACCCCGTGGCACGAACCCCCCCCCGCCTTCCCGGGGGGTTTCGTACAGGGCGCACCAGGTGCCGCCGACGACCTACAGCTGGAACCCCCCACTCTCCCTCTTTCCCGGTGGGTTTTGTACCGGGCACACCGGCGCCCCCCCCCCACCGTGGGGTGGGGGGCTGCGTGGGAGCGAGGGGCATGGGTCTTTGGGGCGTGGGCGTGGGGTGGGAGGGAGGACTAGATGGATGAATGGAGGTAGGGATGGATGGACGGATCGACGGACGGATATGAGATAGATGGTCCAGGGTCTGGCCCTCCCCCTCATGCTGATGCCATCGGGCCACCCCCCCGCGCGATGGGCTCCCCCCCCACCCACTGGGCGTGGCGTGTTGGCCCCCCCCCGCCCCCCCTGTGGGCGTGGGGTGGTGGTGGTGGTGGTCGTCCTCCGTCGTCGTCGTCGTCGTCGTCGTCGTCGTCGTCGTCGTCGTCGTCGTCCCATTTTGGCTCAAGGCTCTTGCTGAGTCTGCGGTCGTGTGCACGCAAGTCTCCTGACAGTACCAGTCTCACCTCACGTCCACGTCCTGCCCCGCACGCGCATTTTGCCTCTCGTGCGGGAATATTGTGCAGTTTTCGTTACATCATGGCGCTCGCAGGTCAGAACTTCCAGCCTCTCCACGGCGGGGACGTCATAGAAGACGATACGGACGTGGAGGGAAACGAGGCGAAGCAGCGACGTATCGCTGCTGCTGGAAGTGTTGGAGCACGGGCTGCCCCCGCTGGAGGACCGCCTTTCGACCCGTGGGGAGACTACAGGGGACCAAGCGGTGCAGGCCCAGCTGTCATGCCCCTGGGACCTCCTCCTGGAGTGCCTCCTCCAGCTGCTATTCCTGAGGGTCTCGATCCTGGGGCCGCCCGACTGTTCTCGGCTCTTTCTGCAGATTTCAGAAACATCATGGGGGAAACCATCAAACCGTTAGACGCCAAGGTGGAGGAGGTAAACCGTAAAGTTACGAACACAGATCGAGAAGTTGCAGCCTTGAAGGGGGACCTCGCCAACATGAAGACCAGGATGGCCGCAGTGGAGTCAGGCGCGTGTGCTTCTCGACCTCCAACCTCAGCGGCCTCAATACACTCGGTGGGAAGCGGAGGCACAGACGCTTCGACGATCCCGCCGCCCAACATCAGGCTGCCGATGGGCTTGCGGAAGACGCTCTGCATCGGTGGCTGGATCTACTCGGAGGGTGCTGAGTTGGCGAGCGAGATGCGCGAGGTCTTGCGGCTCGCACACATCGAGGGCGTTGCCAAGGTGTTCCCAGCTGGCTCTTACACCGACAGGGTGAAAGTGGAATTCACTAACAAAGATTTCATGTGGAAGTGTTTAGTCGCGATGAAGGGGAAAAAATTTACCAGCTCGTTGGCAGAGCGGAGCCGCGAGGTGGACCAGGTCGATGGGAACAAGCGGAAACTTTGGCACAGCATCGATAAGTACACGGATGAGATCGTGTGCTACAGCAGGGCCGCCCACGCGAAGGATCTGATCAAGGCCGCTTTCGCGACCAAGTGGCCCCAGCACGACGCGCAGTCCCTGACGAACTCCCTGGACGCCCAGAAGGACATGGGCACCGTCGTCTGCCTGCGCAAGCACCTGCCGATGGACGTGCAGCCGAGGGAGCCGATCCGCTTGCTCACGAGGGCGTACCCGTCGTACCTCTTGCGCTCGGCGGGAGGGGGTCAGGCCTGGCTCAACAGCATGGGGATTCAACTCGACCTGGCCTCCAAGCTTGACGAGATCAACGACCCACCTCGCAGGTCTTGACTATCTTCAGGAGGACGCGCTCACACCAGCGACGACACCGTGATCATCTCTTGGAACTGCCGAGGAGTTCCGATGAAACGTGCCGCAGGGGTGCTGGATCAACTTGAGCGCGAGTTCTTCTGGGATGTGATCTGCTTCCAAGAATTCACGGAGACTGACCTTGCCCATCCTGAGATAGCTGGCCATACAGTAATCCTAGGGCCCCCCAGCGGGAGGCGGAAAAGGAGACCCTGTATTGTAGTGCATAAGACACTCACGGCTTGCATCATTGGGAAGCCACAATTTAGACTTTCTTGCCTCGCTTTGGGAGTTCACACACCACGTGGAAAGTTTTGGATTATATGCGCACATCTCGACCCTGACTCTCATAACCACTCTACCTACGCCCAAGATCTTCAAGAGTGTGAGCAGCTGATTGATATGACACCCTCGGACTTCAGACCTATTCTCTGTGTTGACGCGAACGCCTCATTCGGCAAGAGCAAGTACCCGACTCGAGCAGTGGGACCTCACGTCGCTGGAGTTCGCTCGTGGAAGACCGACTACCTGCACGAGTTCATGATAACAAACGAATTGATTGCAGCCAACACTTGGAGTACACCTGCCACGGGGGTCGCGACATGCTTCTACGACGGACGGTTCGAGCCAAGACAGATCGATTTCGCCATGGTCTGCAAGTCATTCCCCGTCGCCAGCTACAACGCCCAGGTGCGGGAGTCGTCGGCGGTGAAGTCGGACCATTCGCCTGTGGTGCTTCGCTTCTTCGCTGAGCGCCGGCCTCAAATTGTCTTCACTCCAGTCTGCAAACACCGTTTCACGACGAAACCTGTGGGCTGGCAGTTGCTAGACCAAACTTTTGGGGCCCAGCTGGAGGATCGTTTTGATATTTCGGGCAGGTTGAGAACGGACATCTCACCTGATCAGGTTAGTTTCAGAATCTTCAGGGACGGTCATTTTAAGAAGCGCACTAAGACTAAGTCTACGTGCGGTTGGGGTTTCGCGGTTTTCAAGGACCCCCCTGGCCTGACCCCGAATTCGAAATCTTTAAGACCCTCGGGTGTAAATTGCACCCCCGTCTTCGAAGCCTGCGGCCCAGTACGCACCGACCCCACCTCCCAGCGCTTTTTAGGCGCCATCCGTTGTACAAACAATGCTGCTGAACTATCGGGGGCAATTGAAACAGGTTTGTGGCTCCTAGGATCCATTGCACCCTCAGGACACAACTTCTTGGCCGCAGGCTCCGTGGTCGAGGTGGTCTTTGATTCCACGTACGTGAT